CAATTAGTTTCATCCGTCTGATTACAGATAAAATCTTACGTTGCCTTCTTTAAAGGATCCAAAGAAAATTGTTTTTGTAAATAAATACTGTCGGCAGAAAGAATTTTAAAAAGGAGCTATTCCATCCATCCATCCATCCATCCATTCGTTATCCATACCCTGTATTCCCATTGCGTCGTGGGAGGCTGGGGCCCTTCCCAGCTGACAACCGGGGTACACCCTGGACAGGTCACCAATCCATTTAAAGGGCTCAGTTAACATGCATGTTTTTGGATGGTGGGAGGAAGCCGGAGTATACAGAGGGAGCCCAAGCAGACACAGGGAGAACATGCAAACTCCCAGCAGAATGGCCCCTGGTGCCCCAGGGATTAGAACCAGGAGCCTTCCTGCTGTGAGGCCACCACACTGCCATAACTGTTCCCTCAGATAAATCAAGGACAATGTCTGGAGGGAAACCACTAGTAACACTGAAATTGATACCTTTTTCTGACAGAATGTGTTCACTCGCGTCAACGGTTTTTCAAGGGATTTTAGATCATTTGTGTGAATCTCCTAATTTTTCAGAGAGAAAGATGTTACAAGCTAGACAACAAATTACACTGCTTGGATTTGAAGGTCCAATGTTTACATGTAAAGTTTACTTTTGCTCAGTTAGAAGACAAAACAAATAATGTTGAAGAAAAACTTAGCATGAGGTCGTCACATTTATTGCATGGCTAATAATTATTTAATGTCTCCATTGTTGATTTCTTTTATAATGATGTCATCATCTTGTTTTCCAAACTGATGGATATGTGGAAAATTCCTGCTTGACACATGGTTTAAATTTCTTGCCTTTCTGTCTTCTTGGTCTCCTGCTTACATGCAGCCAGTCAGAGATCTGCTGCGTGTTTGTGTGACCTAGTCTGAACCCTCTAGCACAGCACCAGGCTGTCAGAGGGAGAAACTACATCAGTGATGCCGACATCAAGCCCATTGTAAGGCTATTGCAAGGCTGCCTGACTTCTCCCTCTTATCTCTCCTCCTCTCACTTCTCTCCCGCTTGTCTGCTTACTGATGCTGATGTGGACCTATCTTTAGTTCTTTAGTTATCAGAATGTTTTTGTGTAATAGGTTTGTCACTCACACATTTTAGAGTTGCTTTTTAGCGCAGTCAGGGGGGTTTGCTTTATTTGATGTACTTCACTTCCACCCGGCATCCTATTGTGCCTCTAATAAATAATCTAATATGGCTGCTTCAATGATGAATTCTAATCGGTATGGTAACACATACGTATAGACATTCAGCCTAATAACATTAAAATTACCATCTTTATTAATCTTTAATAAAGATGCTGGCAACTGGATGTACAGCACAGCGTATCTGACAAATTTCATAGGGGCAAGTGAAAATATTATATAACTAATTGCTTTCTTAAGGTTTAATACATCTATTTGATTTTTTCTTTACTTCCATTTTGATAAAAAGACAGCTAATGTTTTTAAACATGTATTTAGCTTCTAAATTTAGTTAAACAAATCTTTTTAAAAAAGATTATACGGTCATATACACAACAGTAGATCTACTGAATCTCACATATGAATGTACCCGTTATGGTCACTCTACCATAAAGATAGATAGGTCATGGTGCATTTACTTTTTAGAACATTCATCAAGGAAAGGAAAGCATTAATGGAAATGTTGATTATCTCAAATATATTGCCAAAATATCTGAACAGGCTCTGAGTAGATATATTTATTCTATCAAATATTTTTCTTATAAATATATTGAAATGGAAAGAAATCAGGGCATATGTGTCAGAGGATGTTTACGGTCCGACGTCTGAGGGAGATTACTTATGTTAAACTTATGGGTGGATCTTATCCTTGGTGACCCTCTGGCTCAGATTTAGCTTTTAGTTGAATATATCTCAAATAATAACCCATTTAGAAAGTTAAGGTAAATTGAATAAAAAAGTGCGTCATTATTATATTTGATTTGAAGAAATAAGCCTTTATTACGGCCAAGCACTTAAGGTCTGATCCATAGGGGGAAAGAGGGCACAGTTCTGTCAGTGAATGACTCTTAATGTAACAAAAAACTCTGTTGGTTTTTGTTTTTTTCCCATCCAGACCAAAGCCCTCAAATAAAAAGAAATGTGTTTAATAAGAAGTACACTCTTCCTATGGGGATGCATGTGCCAGCTTGTTGTCCTTTAGTCTGGCTTTCAGAACCGCTGCGCAAAATGTGACGTTGATTGGATTTTTACTCACGGGAAAAGCAGTGACCTCCACTGAAAATTCCTGCACGTGTAGAAAATAAGTGCCAAATTACAATCAGACTGGCTGTCTGGATTGGAACTGCAGAATCAGTGATTATTTGAAATGATGTGGGATTTTTATTTTTTTTTCAAAACATAGTGAGAAATTACTTGATGTACCTGCCACAGTATTCTTGTGCCTCATTGGCCAATTTAGGCTGCCAAAAAGGCAGCAAATGTGGCACTGCCACATTGATTCCTGAGTTGAGTGATGAGTTTCCTTCAAAGCATCTTCTCCCATTTACCACTGTTAGCTCCAGTAGTGAAGTCCAATAGAACCCCCAGTCCTCCAACTACATCCACATCACCCGTGTCTACATCAATGTACAGCTGTTCTCGTTTTAATCACACAGGGACACAAATGGCCTGAAAGAAAGCTTATGTATCAATTAAAAAAAAAGCTTGCCATTTGGGTTGTTTTATATTTGTCATTACAATCAGAATTTCTTTTCCAACCTAGTATTCTGGTTTCATCCTATTATAGTGGTATTTCCATGCCTTCCATCCAATTTCTTCCGTCTTACTTTCTCCCCATCAAGAATCTTTGCTCTCGGCCTTCCTTCTCATCCCTCCCCCCTCACCTTTTTTCTTCCCGATTGGTGCCATCTGAGGTTGCGGGCCCAGGCCGCAGAAGCTGCAAATTTACCCAGCAGCACACGTCACTGACAGAGGAGCGCAGAGCTCCTAAAATAACCCAAACTGCAATTGGTGAAAAAGGGTCCAAGTGGTAGCTACAAAGGGTCGATTCCAGCAACAAAACAAAGCTTTCAGGATCTTTTTCAAGCACCCGTTCTCTCATGAGCCACTCACATAAGCTGTGTCTGCCGATTCATTAAAGGCCACTGAGAGTTTATGAATTATAATTCAGAGTGAATTTGATTTGTTTGCAGAACGTTTCTCAGCATGTGCCTATTAATAAGTTTGAGAGGGCGATTCAGGCTAGTATAAAAACAGCCAGCATGCAGCTCAAATTCATAAAAGGCTCTTCTTGAATAAGTCATGTGGGAACACTCAGTTTATTAGAATGCCACCAACACAATATAAAAAAAATTCTGATAATAATCTGGTGTGTGATTTGGCTATTTGTGCAGCAGAAGTGGGTCTATCTTGCACTAAAACCCATTTGACATGTCACAAGAGCAAAAACGGGTAATCTGGGCAATAGAGATGTTTTGTAACACATAGAATAAGCTGTTTATGTCTAGTTTGTTACGTGACCAAAGACAGCAAGAAATTAACTGATTAATTACTTTTCAAGAGGTGTCACTCGGCTCTAGCCATTTAACGACCAATCAGCCTTCAAAGTTATTGGATGAGAATTTTGGGTGCTTGCACAATTATGGGTTTTGGTTGCATAAGGAGAAACAACATGGAGGCTTTAATTAAAAGCAGCTAACAAAGACCACATTCAATGGTCTCCTTGTTTTGCAGTGTGTAATTCCTAGAATTTCAGCAAGTATCCCATTGTGGAAGAGCCTGGTTTATGGATCCCAGCATGGGTCTGGAACTGCAATAGAGACATCCAAGCCAGCAAACCCTGCTCTTTTTAATGTAAAGCCAAACTGTTAACCCTTGAAGATCAAAAGCTGTGAATAACACATAACTTCTCATAATTGCTGCATTAGCTCGCTTTTAATGAACTGATGGCAACTGCTATCTCCCTTAGTTATGAATTGTGTTAAAGGCTGCTTTTGCAGTCTGTCTAATGAGTTGTGTGCGTAAAAGTGGATTCACAGATGCAGGATAACAAAGCATGGTAATGTCAGAGGACTCTCCTTTGTGTTCTTTTTTCTTGTTTACTGTTTAGAATACCGAGGTCAGCCACAGACCTTCCACCCAAGAGGTGTCACCTAACATGACCCCACTGGGTAAATCAATTAAATCATTACAGCTGAACTCTCTGTAATTGATTTGTATTGGCTCCGTGGTGGGACAATCATGAGATAATTATACATGCAAAGAACAGATGGAATCGTTGCATCAACACATACTCAGTCTGGGGTTAATTCACACAACAAGTCGGAGGGAGAAGATGGCTGGAGACGCGGCAGTCACCGTGTCTGAGGCCTCGTTGGAGCCATTCATTCCCTCAGTTTTTGAAGTGTTTCAAGGACTCCAGGTCATTTCACTTATTTGACATTCTGATTGAATTTATTATTTTAGAAAACACAGGACTTACTAGTTCCCGTAACTTGATTTCAGTAGTAATGGAAAAGGCGACAGCTGCATTTCAGAGGCATTTTGAAGGGATGTGACCCCGTGAGTGTTTAGGAGAGACTGAGAAAATCGGACTCTTGCCTTTTTCTACCTGTAATTAAACTCTAACAGACATTAAAACAATTAAACCAGATATTCACTTTGAAATTACTTGCATTAAATTTTCTCCATAGTTCAGCTTGAAGAAAAGGTGCCAGTTTGGCTTAAAGTACTCAAACCTGATTGAGATGTGAAGTTCTTTGTGCTCATATTTGTCAATATCTTCAACTCAAACGTTGGCCCTCCTATCAAAATTAGTAAATATTGCTCATCACTTTAACACATACTGGGATTTGAAGTTTGTACCAAGTTATCATAATTTATCATGACCTAGATAGAAACTATGAAAAAACAACTAATTTCTGTGTTCAAATTTTTATTTTGCTACAGAGCGGCAACACAGCTACCATTCAAAACACATTAAATGAAATATTATATATTGGGAAAAAAAGTCCTTGACATGAGCAAATGTCTTCGTATACTTAGAAAAATCCAACATATATGATAACTTGACTGTTGCTGTTAATGTGTCATTGTATTGTATTCAGCTGCTTGGAATTACTTATGGCATCTGATTTATTACCCAAAGGGATTACAAGATCATTAATGTGAAGAAGAAAACGCAAGGCAAACGACAATCGATGTGGAAATCTGTTTTTCTTCAAACTTTAATAAATCAGAACTATTTTTCCTTCAAAGGCTCAAATAAAAGTAAAACATTCAAAGGGGAAGAAGTCCCTTATCAGGGAGGGTGTTTTACGCAGGATGAACATACCAAACATGAAGCTGCTCTTATCATGCAGCTTTTTGCTTTCATTCCAAAAGCAGAAACATTTGGGAGCGACTGGATTGAAATGTCTTATAAAAATGTTTTTAAAAAGCAATGATTAGACAGAAACCATACACTATATGTCTTCCTGTGAAACTCATTGTCAAAGAAAAGATGTGATATTCCTAACAGTGTGGAAAATAGAATTAATATGAAGTTAAATGTATGTGAATCCTAGTCCATGTTCGGAATGCGCCCATTAATTTACTTCCGCACTCTTTTGTCTCAGGGGCCTTTAATTCCTCAATATTTTACAATCTCAAAATTTACATTATAAACAACTTTGTAAACATATCCAAATATCTTTACATTCCACATATATTATTCGTATCCCATCATCAGACAATAAATACATTGTCAAGCTTTATTGTCATAGAGGCACAAAAACATATTCATCGTAATTCAAAAAATAAATATTTTTTCTCATCTCAACACAATTCTTTAGATTTTCCCAGCCTACAAAAGCAAACCTACTCTAAGTAGAAACTCATATGTATTTACCATAATTTAAAAAAACAAATGAGCATGAAAATGAGCTCCAACTTACGATTAGACAGTATGTGATTTAAAGATTTCAGTGTCAATCACAACTGCAGCAGCTTTTGTGGACCAGTGGAGGGATATGCTGAATGTCCGCATTTCAGATTAAAACTCCACAATTTTCTCAATGTTGCACTATGTATTTGTGTCCGTTTGAAGCATTCTGCACCTTAGAAGTGAGCAGCTGACGTGCTGATATGCAAACATTTGCCGTGGGCTGGTACGGGTAACCTGCTCGTTAAATTGTGCGTATTGCAGCTAATTCGAAGCACAGGACCTTAAATAGTCTCATGTGAAGTCAAACATGGCTTAGGTTCAAGTAGCTCCAAAAGCAGTGATTTTTTTTTTTTAGGGGGGGGCCTGCTGTGAAAAACAAAGCCATAAACAGCACAAAAAAAAGAGACCCTGTAACATGCTGGTCAGGGGCGCCATCTAGTGGTCGGATCCGCTTATGTGCACGTTGGTAGTAACAGTGCACGTCTCAAGCCCAGATTCCGAGATAACACTTTATTATTGTCTGAATGTATTTAATGTAACAGTTCCATTGAAAGATGTGGGAACGAGCACTCTTTGGGAAATCTAAACGAGGCACTGCGACCAAAGGACTGAGTACTATTCGAACCCTAAACGAGGCGGCTCAACTCTTTCCGGGCCAGCTTGGAGAACGCCTGTCAGAACCTCGTAGGTAAAAAACACCACCATGTTTACTGGGAATGCACGCAGGCAGTTGATGCCCAGGCTCCTGAAGAACACGCCGGCTCCCTCCACCCTCACTGTCTCTGTGATGCAGTGGAAAAAGCCCTTGTATCGCTTTATCTCCCGTGCGCCGTCCATCTGCAGACGGGCTTTGATCACGTCCATGGGCGTCCCCACCGTCCAGCCTGCCATGCCGGCGATCCCGCCCGCCAGCATCACACCGCTCCAATCTGGAGGAAATGAAATGAAAGGAAAGGAAAAAAAAAAGACGAATAAGAGACTAAAATGTCTTGGCTCTCGCATGCAGTGACTGTAAAGTCGATCTTCTCGTACCAGTTTTTTTCTTGCTGCCGCCCGACAGCCATTCACAGATAGTGGTGTAAGTCAGAAAGTACGTGGCGTATGACGGCCCGTCCCTCAGCATGAGTGGGAGAGCCCCTCTGTAGAGCCCCACCAACCCCTCCTCTTTGACAATGCTCAGCAGGCAGTGCACTGGTCCGTGGTACTTTGGCTTGGCCATGTTGGCTCCCCCCCGCTTGGACTCAGTCTGACACTGCAGACGGACCTTCACTATGTCGCCCGGCGACATCACTGTTATCTGTCGAGAGGGAGGCAAGGAGAGAATCAGAGGCAGACTTCTCAGGATTCTGTTCCCGACACACTGCTGCTGTGGGGTAAAACTAGGCCCTACCTGAGCTACACCGCCAGCCATTCCGGACAGGAACACTTCCAGTTTGGTGTTTGGACCCCAGTCAGCTCCTCGCGCCTGCTTCAGACACTGCAGGCAGTTCCTGTAGGTCCCAAACACCACCGAAGAGGTCATAGAGACGGTGGCCATGGGTAGGGACATACCTTTGAAGAAGCCATGCACCTGATGGAACACAGCAGAGAAACAGTTTTTGTTATTTGACCATTCAAATTGGGGTTAACTTTAATCAAAGCAACTGGAATCCAAAGGGACACGGCAACCCTGCTGTGAGCCTTAGCTGTCTCACATGTGACTCTAAGATACATTAAAACAAAAAGAAAAATGTGGGTTTCGATTCGATGGCTGCATGGTGCCCAGGCCCCGGAGCTGCAGAACAAGCCCGTATCATCATCATTACGTGCTTAACAGTTAGGAGGTCTTGGCTCTTATATGCTCCAAATATCTCCAATTTAGTCACAACTGTTGAGGAAGTTTGCCTTTTTGAGAATTAGTTGTTTCTGAGAATTACACCATCTGGGGATGTCATTTGTGTCACAGCTGAGTGAGGGACTCAAAACTCTGGCTGCTACATACCCTGGTCATTCTCTGTGGAAGCAGGGAACATATCGCACACTGCCTCCGCCTTTTGCTTTGGTTTTTAAACCGTACAGCTATATGCCGTTTAATCTACGGTCACATTTACTATATATCTGTACAGTAATACTTACATTTCTATATATCATGACATTTTCTATTTGCCCTCTGGACTTGACATAACTGTATCTTATCTCACATGATTGTCAAAATACGTTCGCAAGTGTTTACACGTGCTCGCTCTCTTTTAGAGGTTCAGTCACATCTTAAATAAAGTAATGTGAAACATGAGCATTTTCCAAAAAGAAACTCAGATAGTTCCACTTACCCCTTCTTTTGAGTATGTCTCCACCGCACATTGGTACACTCCTCGGAACTGCTTCTGAGTTTGGATCCGGACCTAAGAGACAAAAGGAACATCGAGTAGAACTGATTAGCCTGTTTAACGCATGTAAACCGTGGTTATTGCTTTGCTTACCTTCACAGTGTCCAGGGGGTAACCCACTGCAACTCCACATGCCCCTGCGTGTTTTCAGAGAAAAGATGGAGTCAAGGACACCACAACAACACAGTGATGGTCAAGTTATGCTCTACAACTACTATGCTATTAAAAGAAGCTGACAGGAAGGTGAAACGTTGGTAATTTATTGCTCTCTTCTTAGAAGAGCTTCACCGACATATAACACAGTGGGATGATTTGTTCTGTTATTCCTAATTACTGCTTCTGAGGAACACAAAAACACATTTTCCCTCAAAGGAGCTAATAAATTGCTTGACCAACAGAAGTTTTACACTTGCTCCATGCTTTATAAAACAATGACTGGGTGGTACAGTGTAGTTTATAGGTAAGAAATGCATGTCAGTGTGCTCATCCATGCATCAAAAGCCGATGGGGCCCCGGGTTAGATGGAGCCTAACCCAGCTGTCAGCAAAAGAGACGCTTCCATCTCATATCCAGAACTGTGACCATTATGATCAGTGGGATTCATGTAAGTTTCCTGATATTTCCAGCTGTCAGGCAAGAAGTTAAGTAAACACCATATGGGACTGTTGGTATTGCTCTTTTCAAATACGATTTAAGGTCAGTAATGAAGCACGCACTTTCAGCCAGGCTTAATCTAATCTTCTCAGATGTTGCTGTATCGTTGTCACATTATCACCGTACAGTAGCTAACCGATTAGCAGCTACACAGCGCGAATGCTAACGTTCAATAAAAAAGTAGAAAGTCAATAGAGTTGGCCATTACCTCCAATTGATCCGGATACAAAATCGGCTATATGCATCCTGTCATACGGTGAATGTCCAGGGCATGCTTGTCAGGTGTGGACCCATTCTTCCACACGCGGTAACCTTGAGTGTGATGTTACATGACGAGCGGCAGCAGGGTGTTATAGAATTAGCCTAAGCTTCGACTGTGTTACGACTCTTTACGGAAATAGCCGAATGGTGAACTGCATGTGCAGTACGTCTGTTCGACAAATGTTCTTTACAGTTATTATATTTTTAGCGTCATACAGATTATTAAAAATATAAACTACAATATTTGAACCTATCGGGACGAATATGCATTAATAACAGGGACGCACGCTTATAACTTTGCAGACAGTCCCTTGAAACCAAATTCAAAACATCACGCGGCCTTTCCACGGATTTGGGTAGCCAGAGCCAATAAATGAAGAGCATTACTCCTCGAGCGGGGTGTCGGCGTTTTCTCCTCTCTCGGATTGGTTAGAAACTAGAGAGCGGTAATTGGAGCTGCCCCTTTTGTATTTACTTCCTGTGACGCACGTAAGTCTGCTATCCTCCTGACATACCTCCATTAGATAGGGGTTACTCATATTGCCTGGAAGTACCACAGCGATTAATGGAGACGGTGTGTAGTTTTGCCAGAATTAGGAAGGGACAGGCAAATTAAGCGGACAGAGAAAACATATTTCCCGGCATTCTTATTCATCAAAGCCCAATACTCCGAGCCGGGCAGCGGTGCTGCTAGCTAACATAAACGCTAACTGGCAGCGTCAGCTAGCATTGAGCCAATAGCTCGATTAAGAGCCGGGAACAGCAGCACAGCAAGGTTACCGACGAAGTCGCCGGTGTTAGACAGTAAAAGTAGGTTTTTAAAAAGTTGTTGTACTTGATAAGTCTTAGCACTTTAAAAATAGCGGTGATGGACTTCGTTGCTGGATGCATCGGAGGTAAGTTCTATGTCTGCTGCTTTCTCTACCATCCATTATCAGTTCATTTGGCACTACGGAAGGACGATTGCTGAAATTGAATGATAATTAGGTTTCAGAAAGATATACCTTCACAATACTGTACTGTAATTATAGCATGAGTATAGCATTTTCTTTTCAACTAGTAAAGTAGTGGATATTTTCCCATTAACTGTCAAATCAGAAACTCTCTTGGTCAAGCAGTGTAATTAACATTATTTAGATTTAGAATCTCCAGCTCAAACAATGTCATGCAACACTTTTGGGGACTAATAAAACTCATATAAGCTTCTGATCCCTTTTAATATCCTGATTAAACATGATTTCATTCATTTAGCTAAGAGAATTCAATGTAAACATAAGACATTTTACAGCACATGTTGATAAAGGATGTGTGTGTTGAGAAACAGACTTTTAAAAATCTCTATAACCTGTGTTTTATGTCTGTCTGGGGTCATTTGTTTGCTTCGGGTGAGAATTAAAAGCATAAACAAGTACTGCCCAGTGTGACACAATCAACTGGTTTGGCTGAGTTTCCACACACCCCATGCAGATGGAATGAATTAGTACACACCCATCCACAGACCAATCCCATGCTTTCTTTATTTACAGTCACTGACACTTTAGAACATGGGGTGTCCCAAATGTAAAGCTTGTGTTATTGCTGTTCAGCTCAAGTTTAAAAAGTGCCCATCCATGTTCTCCAACTCAAAACGGCTTAATAAACTGAAAAAGTTAACTCCTAATCATATGAAACCTTGAGAGAAAGATCCTGCTCTTATCATAGGCTCTTGCAGATCACAAGCAAATTAAGGACTAGAACTGTCATTTCTTAGGGTTGTTTTTTTTTCTCAGTTTTGTGTGTTCTTTTCCCGGCTTACAGGAGTTCCCTTCTTATAGGCTTTTTTTTTTTTTTAACAAATTACTCACGTGACAGAGAAGGTACTTATGGAGGATTAGCTTGCCATGTTTGTTTACTGTGGGAGCCACGAGTGAGTCTGTCACCAACGTTAACCAATTTCCTTCACAGTCAAAACACTTTGTTGGACATGTTTGCATAGTTACCAGAGTACAGTTCAAGATCAGATTTTCATTGTTCAGTTTAATTTTCCCATTCATTGTACAAGTATTACAAACAAGATCTAAACTAGTTGTAGCATTGTATCAAATAAAAAAAAAACTTGGCTGATGAAAATGGTTACATCATTCATTTCTTCCATCTCAACACTGCCCTCAGCATGCTGTGAGGCCGTTATTGTCAGTCAGATGCATTACAGCAGCTGTAAAAGGGAGCATAAGTGAAGACGTTAGAATTTTCCTCATCTAGGCTCAGTACACACGAGTTACACATTGTACAGTATGTGTCAGTATGAACTGTGCAACATGACAACATGAGCATGCCCAGCTTATGTAACCCTCAAAGGCACTAAAGAAAGTTTTATAGGGTATTGATGTCTGGTGAGTTGGCTCAGGAGCAGACACTCCTGGAGGGCACAGCAGTATGCTCTAAATTTACACCACAAGGGCTCAGGCCTTCAAAAACTAGCCAAGCAGGTTGGAATGGGTGTGTAAATGATGCACAGTAGCCTCAGTTGAAATTGCTCGATTGAGGATAAAGTTTAAAAGTTCTTAGATGGGGATATATTCTTCTGTTTGAGAGCATTGTTACCCCTATGGAGTATTCCATCTATTATTGGGTTTTGGTTTTAAAGCAAATTATGCTGAATGATGGCTGTTGTTTGTTCTCTCCCGAGGTGCTGCTGGAGTGTTGGTGGGACACCCATTTGACACAGTGAAGGTAAGCAGTACTGGTGGGTTGGCTTTCCCATTTAATCTCCATTTTCTTTGCACACAGACACACATTTTAAGGGATGTCATTGCAGCTTTAAATTCCATAATGCTACCTGCACCAGAAAATATTTTATTACCTAAATACATGCTAATCAAAGAGTTTTTTTTTCTCTTCTAGGTCAGACTGCAGGTCCAGAATGTTGATAAGCCTCTGTATCGTGGGACCATTCACTGTTTCCAGTCCATCATCCGGCAGGAGTCGGTATGGAGATGTCTTTGATTTTTTAATCTAATGTTAAAATGCCTGTCCCTTGAAATGAAAATAGACATGATGCGCACTGTGTTTGTAGTGGAAAATAAGAGGATGAATAAACTAAGTTACCACAAGGGGGCGATGTGAACTACTTTACTCTGAAAAACTGTGCTGGTAGTAGTTAAGGAGGAAAAACAAAACGAGACCTATTTTTGCTGCTTCACTCCCAAACAAAGCCAGAGTCATGTAGTTTCATCTTTGCTTAAATTTCTTTCACCGTGGAACAGTTCTTCTTCAAAGGAAACGTGTAAAATCATCTCAAATGAGTGATTGAGATACACAATGTCTAATAGGTCACCTCTAGTCTGGTTGATCGCAAATTTGCACATTCCACCCTGAAGATTTGGGGAGGACCCATCCATGTATCTCCGTTTGTTATCCATGTCGTTCAGTGTGTTTAATAGAAAGTCGAATGCCTGTTTCGTTGGTAGAGTGGGAAAGGCCAATTTAAAAAGAATTAGTCAAATGTGAACAAGCATGATTTGTGCCCAAGTCACATTTGATTTGAAGTGTCAGCCATAGGGGCAAATGGCTCCTTTTCAAACTGATGTTATGAAATAAAACATGCTGATCTGCCACTGGTGATGTTTCAAACATTCCTCACCCTTGCCACAGGTGTTTGGTTTATATAAAGGCATCGGATCCCCCATGATGGGCCTTACATTCATCAACGCCATCGTGTTTGGCGTCCAGGGAAACGCCATGCGGCTGCTGGGGCATGACACCCCCACCAACCAGTTCCTTGCTGGTGCAGCAGCAGGAACCATCCAGTGTGTGATCTGCTGCCCCATGGAGCTGGCTAAAACCCGCATGCAGATGCAGGGCACAGGTGAGAAGAAGTCTTCTAAGAAGATGTACAAAAGCTCTCTGGACTGTTTGGTGCGCATCTACAAGCGGGAGGGCCTGTGGGGGGTCAACAGAGGCATGGTCACCACACTTATCCGCGAGATGCCCGGCTTTGGCGTCTATTTCCTGGCCTACGACGTGCTGACGCGGAGCCTCGGCTGCGAGCCAGACAACCGCTACATGATTCCCAAACTGCTGTTTGCCGGGGGAATGGCGGGAATCGCCTCCTGGATCTCCACCTACCCGGTGGACGTGATCAAATCCCGTCTCCAGGCAGATGGGGTGGGCGGAGTCAACCGGTACAGCAGCATTGCCGACTGCGTGCGGCAGAGCGTCAGGAGGGAGGGCTACATGGTGTTCACGCGAGGCCTCACCTCCACCCTGCTCCGGGCCTTCCCTGTGAACGCAACCACCTTTGCCACCGTCACCTTGGTCCTCATGTACGCGCGGGGGGTGGAGGAGGGGCCTAAAGACTGTGAGCCGGCCCCGACCAGCCACCACACTCCCATTCAGCCGCAGGCGCAGCCCTCCAGCCTGTAGCGGCCCGCGCGCTGCAAACGCATCACCACACGAACCCACATGTTAACGCCGGGTGTCTCACCTTAGACTAACCATTCCCACTTCTGAGTCAGGAGGTTTCCTCGTTCCTATAAGCACTTGTTTTTGCATTGATGACAGAAAAAGGGGCAAAAGAGAGGGAATTGTTTTTATTTCGAGCTGCAATGAACGTGTTCTGCGGGTTTTCTAAAAGGGATGACTTTACTCCTGATGGGAGCTGAGAGTTTTCTGAAACTGTTGACACTCACTTTCATTCTTTGAAACATTTCTAAATGTTAAACGGCTACAAAAACCAGGTGTGTTACCGGGTCGATGCTGGAAAGTCATATCTCTACGACAAATATCCTGAAATGTGCAATTTTCTCTGTGTACCACTGGTTTAATTTATTATTTATTTTTTTACATATATTGGAAATATTTTCCTGCCTTATAGTATATGAGTTGTATTTTGCGTGACATGCTTTTTTCTGCCTGAACTGTATCCTTTGAAGAGCTAACGGGGAAGCAACGTAGCATTTGATGAGCATTTGTCTGCTGTCAAACCCAAAAAAACAAAAAACAAGAAAAACTCAACCCATCACAGCTAGTCTCATCAGCACTGAGGCAGCAAAGGCTTTCTCCGTACTAGTGAGTAGCCTCTTCCATCTGGTTGGAGGAGCTGGTGAATAGAAACTAGCTGAGTGTGAATCGACTGTGGATGCTTGTATGTTTGTTTTTGCTTTTCGTGTTTTCGATTGTTGTTGTGTTCTACCAAACAATGTGAATCTTTATAATTTGCGACTGCATTGACGGTCTTTCCACTGTTATTGACTCTGTACATTTGTCCACTCTTTTTTTAATTTACTGGTTCATTTTAAGCTGAAACTGAGATTTGTGGTCAGTAGGAACTTCAGAGGCCCCTGTACATAACAGCAACTCATTACCTCTTTATCGTAGGTAACTTATGGTATTTTTCAATTCTCTAAAGTTTATTGTGCATTTTTTAAATCAAAAAATTTAAATACTGAAGAACTTTGTTTGTTTTCAGGACTATTGAATTTGTAAGATGTCATAAAAAAACTTTCTGCATGATAGGTTTGAAGGTTTAAGTAGAGGAAACACTGCAGAAGCCGTCCACCTATTACTAAGTTGCACGTCTTTAATTAGGTTTGGAAAGTAGAGACAGAGGAAAGTCTGGAGTTTTGAATGTCAAATTATCCATATACTGTACCCTATCTGGACTGGAGCTTAAATCAAGCTGCAACCACTGGCTCCAGAGTTTGGAACTATTACTGATGGATGAAAATTGTTTACTTTCTGTGTGTTTTGCTTTTAATGTCTTGTGGTTTTTGTTTAGTATTTAACTCCAGCGTTTCAGTGAAGAAGCACTTCTCAGTAAGCAGACGTGTTGCGTCTGCCCCACGCCCCCCATTCCCCAAAAGCACTTCCTTATCCGCAAGCACTTACAACAGACAACCTGCACCCGCAAAGAATCGGCCTGCAGTCCTAAAATATCAAAACCAAATCAAATCCCTGTACCCTCTTGTATGAACTCCCCCAAAGGCTGTCGGAGAGCCGGAGGTCCCAGCTGCACTATGACCTCAAATGAATGTAACTGACCTGTGCTCACGACCGGCAAACTTTTCAATTGTTTTTGGATTCTCGTTGTTTAAGTGAATTTTGGGAACATCGGAGCTGCTAGAAAAACGTTGAAACACTCTTTTGTGTTATAAATCTTAACTCCACCTAACAGTGACTGTTACTGATTACAGATTCCCAGAAGGCAGCGAGTAGTTATCACAGCTTCTGCTGGTGTTACGGATGCAATATGTACAGAATGTGACGGTAAAAATGTGAGATTGTTTTGAAGTGCACTATATATTGATATATATATATTTAGTATATATATATGCATAATTATTTTCCATTCAACATTATATTATAAAGTTTGGCTCCAAACTGAGGTGTATTTTTGTCAGAGCAGAACCTATTTGTGTCTGAGGATCTGTAATGGCCAAATAAAAATACTCTACCAGCTATTAGTTTTTTTTCGTGCTCATTTATGTATTCTTGTTATGATGGCTTCACCTGAACTGTTACATACAGTCTGCTACACACATGTCAACGCTACACATGACATCTGTGACAAATAGTGAGACATTCACATATTTATTGATCATATTTTCTATGGTGACACTCTCCAGCTTCCCCTGGGTGATCCTGAGGCTTTCCCAGGCCAGAGGAGATATATATAGTCCCCCAGCGAGTTCTGACTCTGGGTCTCCTCTCAGTGGGACACCACCAAAAGAAGCCAAGTGACCAGGACGCCTCCTAACCAGATGGCTGAGCCCCTTCAGCTGAGCATCGGCTGTGCTCTGACGTTCGTCCGGAGGGCCCAGCTTTACCCCTCCAGACCGTAACTATTGCTGACAAAGCTCCGATCCCACTGTCCATTTTTTCATGCCATAACCTGTCTTCACTTGTGAACAAAATACCGAGATATTTAAACTCCTCTGCCAGAAGCCAGAAAGCATTTCACTTTCTCTTTGGTTGAGAACAATAACCTCTGTATGAATGATGAGTAACAGTTATGTCCACTTGATTTATGTGTCAGCCGCAGAAATTTTGGAAATGCCAAGGATGCGAGACAACTGAAACGATTGTGTTTCTGCTCTCATCGATCTGGAATGGTTATAAGGCTATTTCCAAACTGTGTGGGGTCATTTAGAGGGATGTTTTATTCCTCTTAGAAATAACTTAGTATCCAGGTTTGGTTACATGCAAATACAGAGAATGAAGCATAGCAGCACAAACACATTAACTAGCTGGTAAGCACAGAGGTGGAGGGCTCGTGATTTGGGCCTGTTATTTATCGCAGATCCCACACTTACAAGATATTTTTTCTCCTTTCACCTTTTTCTTTTTTTATCCCGCTCAGTATTGTGGATGTCACCTTATTCCTTTACTTCTTCAAAAAATCTACAACCTTCATAAACCTAATATTTTTTGCTGAATCGTTTTTACATTGGAGGACAAATAATGATCTATCTAATCTTTTGTGGGATAATCAACAAGGTCTCAAACCCCAACAAAACAACATAATGTATAATTATGTAATAATAGCACTGGATAAGAAAGCATACCGATATTTCCGGTAAAAGGAAACAAAGCATCAGGTGTCTGTGTTACATCTTTAACTCCCCTAACTCTGTCAGATATGTGGATGAATAGGCTGGCTGAGGATGTTGGCAAATCCAGGAAATTGCGTTTTCTGTCTTCACCGAGCGTAACAGCGATGAGCCCCACTTGTACCCGCATCTGCTGGGGGTGATCTACACACAGGATGGCTGGAACTGTTCACATGGCGGTGAAGCTGCTGCTGCTATCTCTGATCGGAACAGGTATGGTAAAGAGTCAGTCCAACCTCAGTTTCATCGTCTCACCTTTTACAAAATTTTCCTTTTTTTAAAATTGTTTTTGCATCTTTTTTTGCTCCAGGTGTAGATGGAGTGGACAGTCTGATAAGCGGGCGTTACATTACATACCCATGCGGTAAAGACGTCTGCTATCATGTATGGTATTTGAATAGACGCATAAGCGGTCAGATTGCTATCGTGTGCAATGGGGCCATGCAGACCTCCACGCCACCGAATGATGACCGGCAGTGCACCATCCAAATCGATGACCTCACAGAGGGGGTTGTTGGACGTCATGGCTGCCTCTCTCCTGACAATTGTGAGCGCTGTCATAAAGGGGTTACAAGGAAAAAAATCCTGATGGGGAAGCTAATCAATGCCCCGAATACATGTCTTTCTTCCTTTCAGCGCCAGCAGTTGCTGCAAAGTCAATCCTTTACCCGGGTGAAAAGATGTTGCTACAGTGTGTTCTCCTCACCTTCTTGGAGGACAATCACTGCCACACACAGATGCAACAAAGGGTCGAGCTGATGTGGCTGGATGAAACCGGCGCTCAGATACACGGGGACTCCCAACACCAGATCCAGAGGCAGTCTGCCTGCGAGGTCACCCTAACGTTGACTCTTCAACGGCCTGGACAGAAAAGGTTTAAGTGCCAAGCGACTGTGGACCAGCAAATCCAGACTTCAAAGGAGGTGTGGGTCAGAGTTCCAGGTCTGTTTACGCTTGTCGCCGTCTGTGGGACTGTTTTGTGTTCATTTAAAAAGATTTTTTTTCTTTCTAGAGCGCAACAAGGGAGGAAGAGGAATTGTTGTAGATCCAGAGAAAGGGAATCAAGGTATTTCTCTGCTTATTGGAAAAAGCTAAGACAAGCACTGGATGGGTATTTTCTCTGCTTTAAAGCTTTACTGTTTACCATCTCAGGTGGAAACCAGGACATGGTGGGGACTGCCTTGGCCATTGTGGGATGTGTGGTGTTGACCGGTCTGATTGCAGCATTTGCTGTAAAAAGGCGAAGAGCTAGTAAGTGTTCCCAAACTTCCTTCAGTTACGGTTAGCTGTTGTGAAATAGCCCATCCCACGTGCCTCATGTAAGCAGGCACATTACCTTACAAAACTTTGGTTTGTGGTCTGTGAGGCGTTTCGTAACATGAGTTTGACCCATCAGACATTTGAAATTCATTAGCAAACGTAGAGTCACTGTGGCTGTGTTTTGTAACCTGCATACACTTGAGAAATATCTTCCAGTCTCCACATCACTTAACATTAGTTAAACAATTATAGCAGCAATGATTTACACCTTTTCTTCTAGATCACCGGATGCCAGAAGAGCAATTTAACACGATCACTGCCAGCCATGTAAGTTATTAAGATCAGATAAAAAAGCAATCTTATCTGAACGGTTTTGATTGCCTGGAAGGTTGACAAGAGTGCGTTTCTGTGCAGGCCATGAATGAGGATGACATGATCTACGCTGACATTGTTCTCCCTGTCAACCCTGACTCAGTACTGGTCCAGGAGAGCGAGACCACAGAATACGCATGCATCAGATACAAATAGTCTGAATCATATTCTGTATTTTGTATTTTGTTGAACTCCAACAGTGCTACCTCAGTGCAAGAAATACTGTTAATATTCTTCTGTTGCTGATATGAGAGCTAAAATACTATTATCTATCTATCATTCCCATCACTGAAATGCTCTGTGCTTAGAAGTATGTATTTGTACATTTACAGATCTAGACCCATAATAAATTCATAAACCCTTACCTTACGAATAGCTCATTAAGAAAATCACCTGGGACCTGTTTTTGTTTCCACAGCTTCCCCAGCTGTGGTGATTAATTAGGTCACTATATGAGGTTTATGCCATTCAGTACCCATTTATGGGATTTTTATTTCCTCTTCTGAGATATGCTCAATTGGTAACATGTCTGCATTTAACAAAGAGCTATATTCCTTAGATAGAGTTATAAAAATATCCGTTTTAGGACTAAAATACCATACATGGCTGTTTCCAAAACTGACATGCAGTTCCTTCTATGGCCAAAAGAGGTCACATATTCCTCAAACATAGCCTCCTCATAAGATGAGATGACAAGTAGGAGAGCCTGTTTTTCTTTTTTCTCATTTACTTTGAATCTCAAAACTAATGACAATAATGCACTTTTAAATCCCTGTAAGAAGAAAGATCATTACACTTTTAATTGTGCAGCATTAGATGCTGCCCCACGTCAAAGGGGGGCTGACTCAAATCGGGTCAATCTCAGGATTTGTTCCCCATCTTTTGAACAGGCTTGGGTTATGTCAGCTTTTACCTGTGGAAATTGGCTTTACATTCCAACAAAAACCATAGTGTCCTTGTCCTGGATGTTTTTACCCAATATTTAAACATCAAATATCTATGTATAGCCTCTGTGCTGCCCCTTTTTCTCACATATTGTTCTTCGAGTCATCCACGTGTGTTATTATTCTATTCTTGCTAGAATGTCTCCAAAGTGACGGAATTTGAACAACTGAACAAGGACTGCATGGTGGTTATGATGGGAGAAAAGTAATAGTTTCTTTAACATAACACATATTTCTTTCACAGAACATGGGCTGCTCTGTCACAGTTACGCTGCTTTAAAGCGTGAGCATATGCTAAAGAAATCCACATTGGCTGAAGTTGTCCAAAGAATGATGGATATGTTCATCAAAAGTACAATCAGACTAATATTGCATTTAACAGCATTGCTTTGCTCCACAATATTTTCTGCAAGTAACCGAGTGCAATAGTGCAATAGTGTTCTTTGGCCAGACTCTGCAGCTAAATGTAGAACTTCCTGTTGGGCAACAACCAATCTCTTTAGGCTGTGCAAACATGCTAAATCAAATTTATGTGCTGAGTGCCCTGCTTCCATCCTCATCTGCCTTTACCTCCCCTTGCATACACACACCTGACCTCACAAGTACACTCCCACAAAAACACACACACACAAACACACACACAGACACACAGCCACAGCAGGTAAGAGACTGCCGGAGCCGGTCCCAGTGTTGCCCCATTTGCATTTTAAATGCTTACAGCAAGCCCACTACTGTGTTCACAGTGCAGTGCAGCACAGCTAATCTACACACCTAAGATGTGTGATTGGCTTTAGACAAGAGTCTGTGGGGGTTGAGGAGATGGTGAAGATGCAAAAATAGTGAAGAAAGAGGAAAGGGGGTAGATGCAGTCAGCTGAGCTGAGAGAAGTTGAAAACTCTCATGCAGATTGTGAACATGTTCACTTACCTACAGTACACTAACTGCAGAACCTATGGTACAAAAGAGCCAAGTAGAAAGAGCATCTTTTCTGTAATGTTTTAAAAGGCTTCCACGTGTGCGGAGGATGGAAATAAAAATGGATGTTACTGAGAACAATGAGGTCACAGCCAAAGCTGAAGCTCTGATGTCTTGGTGCATATTCAGTTTGCACATGACTGATAGTTTGCGTTGAAATACCTCTACAAGGTTACCACGCTGTGAAACACTGGCTCATGAAAAGGTTACCCAAAAGGATATCTCTTGAGTCTTTAAGACATCAGAAGAAATTTAAAAAAAGAATGCATCAGTATTCAAAAGTTAGTACACTCGTTCCAGTGTGACCTCTCTTTTATCCATGTGATGAAACTTGTAGACATCCCTCCACCCCTGAAATGTTTCCAAATTATTCCGATGACATTTATAGAAAGTTTAAAACAGGATCTTGAGCCACATATACATTCTCTTTATATTTATAAGTGAATACCTGGGATGAGCTTCTTCAGTAGTCTGGTATTTTTAATTTAATTAGTCTATGAGAATAGTTCTCCATGTTCCATGATGGACATCACAAATCTCTCAAGATGATGCCATGCTTTAGTAATGATGAGGTCCAGGCTCTTTTCGCATCAGATTTTCAGTCCATTTCTGGTGTCATCTTTGCCTTTTCCTCTCTTTTTCCATTTGTAAAAAATGTACTGGTAGCCCACAGCATTTCTGATAAGGCATAAGTGATCATGGTCCAAATAAATCTCTTAAGCAGTGGGTCAGGACATCGCTTTTGGAAACCGCTCACATGCTTCTTGTCCCCTGACACTTCTTATTTCGCCGTTCGCTACTTCAAGTGTCCACACTATTGCGACATGTACCGCATGCTGAGCTCATGTCTTTTTAAGCTTAAATGACTCATAGGTCAGCATTAGGAGGCCAAACAGGCATATAGACAACAAACTTCAAAACAAGTCAGGTACAAAAACTACACTTACAGTAGAAAATGGATCTATGAGAGAATAAACTTTATGACCCTTGATAACTGTTGATAATAACATTTGCCAGATTAAAATACAAAGAATTGAATGATGCCTCATGACTTGTGCACAGCAATGTATATTTAGGAACTACCACCAGATTGTAACCACTGAAACAGGAACATCTGAATACAAAGAAAGAATCTGACATCCACACACCAAAGCCTATACCTTCAGTCCAGGGGGTGTCTATTAGCATTGTCTTTATTTGCATGTCAGATATACAAACCTATCCTTTTTGTGACACCCCCAATGGGAAAACCACGCTCACACATTGTCCACATAGGTGATAAGATTTTGGCCAAAGCCCCGAACGTTAGTGAACTCAGGCACCAGTTTGTCTGCCTAAGAGCTGGAGTGGACCAATCAGTGGGGGCCAAATGTTCCTTTAACCTCAAGTGTGTAAATGTGTGTGTCAGAAGTGTAGTGGTTTGGGCCTACAGTAAGGCCTGTGGGGGGTTGGGGGACAGTCGCTGTGATTGTTGTGGAGCAAAAGGCATTGATTACTGAAATCCTGCAAAAGGCAGGAGAGGAGGTGTTAAAAGTGATACAGCAGAGAAACATTCTGAGGTGGAACTTGGGGGCCTTCCTCTGGTCTCATAAAACTCACGTCCACACCCAGTCTACACATGTTTATTCTAATCAACAAACATGCTTTTACACCAAAGGAAGCCTGGAAAATAAATGGAGTATCACTCAAAATGGAAAAGTTATTTTAATAAAAAGAACTCTGTCATAATGTGATTTTAAAAGATGCATCGAGAAAAAGCACAGCAGTGAGAGAAAGCAAAACATTTAATAGCTGAATTTAGATTTCCATCAACACTTTCTGATCAGAAAGGACATCCCATCTCAGCTAAAGTGGGATGGGAATAAGCACCCTTGACAAACAACCTTGAAAGTGAACTACTGACATCTGGATTTGACTTTGTAACAGAGTAGCAAAAACGTGTTGACAAAACGTGAAAAAACACCGATACCTGCCGCCCCAGCGGGGAGGGCTCCCCCCTTCAGACCCTGACACATTGGCTTTTGTTAACACTTCACATTGAAATTGACCCTGTTTTAACGCAGAGTGTTGGTAGTGGAGGAGGTGGAGTGGGAGGAACGGGCGCAGGGAGGTGTTTCACTGAACACAGACACGCACAAAAAAAAAAGGGGGAAAAAAAGAAGCGGATCGGCGATTGACAATTTCCTGATGGGAGGTGCCTCTTATCATTCTCCCAATTCCGTTGCGCGCACCACAGGACAGGACGCTCCGGAGCTGGACGCTATGGACCAATACTCTGTGTGAAGCCAATACTGGAACGGTTGAACATTCCGCCGCAACTGCGCGAAAGTTTTTGAGACTCATGTTAGTATCTGGACGCCCAGGTAAGAGATTAATACCCTCCTCCCCCTGTTTTACCGGTGTGAGGGATATGGAGTTAGTTTGGTTGTTAGTTTCAAGACGCTGGATGCCCTGCTCTGAATGAAGAGACAGTCCACAGAAGATCTTGATATTATTTTTGGGCGTGATCTGAGTAAGTTTATTCATGGTGTGTTGTCCTGTTTGTGCGAAAATTTCACAACAGAAAGCACACCATTAACTCACTGTGTGACAACAATGGCTGAAAATGCCTTGTAGGCTTGTTCTATATAATGCAGTGAACTACTCTTACCAAGTCCTGTGCAGAACTTCTACCACCAGCCATAGAAACATGCCTGTGTCACCTGTTCTCTTCCAGCTCTCCTGAAGTCCGAAGGCATGATTCAGAGGAAGGAGACTGTTTTGTCTGTCCTGCGGGAGCTTCAAGAGGCCACTGAGAGTTCTGGCCTGGATGCTGTGATCAAAGTGGCCCATGAGGTTGGGCAGGTCCTCGCTCCCTTTCAACTCCCCAAAGCCCCCTATCAGGACTTTCCCAGGTGGACTAGTGTGGATGACGCAGCCCATGCTTTATACCCATCAGATGCACCTAGAGGACTCTTGCCTCTTAAGTGTAATGGGGAAGGCAACTTGCTGTTTGATGCAGTCAGCATGCTGCTTGTGGGGAACACTGGACTTAGCCTGGAGCTACAGGTTAGTAAACCACCTTTGAAAAAACTTGAAATTGACATTGTAGTCCTAATTATTGGTTTGTATGGCTATGGGGTGACTATAAGACTGGTTTAATGGCTTTTACTCCTCACAGGTCAGAACTGTGGTGGAGATGTTGCTGTGGAAGAGGTACTACCTGTCTGGAATGATTGATTCGAAAATGATGCTTCAGGCTGTTCGCTTCAGTCTCTGCGCAGAAGAGTCTGAAGATATGCTCAACCTACCTGTAACAGTCTTGGAGGCCATATTTGATGCAGATGTTAAAGCTTCATGCTTCCCTGGCTCCTTTGCCAACATGTGGCATTTGTATGCCCTGTCGTCAGTCCTTCAGTTCAACATCTACTCCATCTACCCCATGTTCAACCTCCAGATCAGACCCTACTTCAACCGACTCATACGCCCCAGGACCTGGCCTGAGGATTCAGAGCCGCAAACCATCCATATAATGTGGTCCGGGGAGCTCCAGTCAGAGTCACTGTTCAGGCCAAATTATTTTGTCGCCCTTGTTCAGACAAGCAAAGCTTCGGGGGGCCCTGATGGTGAACAGAGGCCGTGCCAAATCAAAAGCCAGGACCAGCTGAAACAGCATGCAACGTTTTCTTACCCAAGTTTGAAGGACAAGTACAACATAACAAAGAGAACCTTCTACCGCTGGAAGAGGCAGACACAGGAACACTGCAAAAAGTCTGCTGCAAGATATGAGGCCAAGTATTTCCTTCAAGCTTGCTACTTGGAGGGGAGGCTCATCCCATTGCACCAGTTCAAACAGTTCTTCCCTGAGATCTCAAGGTCGTCATATTATAACTGGAAGCATGAGCTCATAAAATCTGGAGGAAACCTCTCCAACTCGTCTTCGGCGGGAGAGGTAAGTCCCGGGGAGAGCACTGAGCAAGAGGCCTGGTCATCTCCAGAAGCACAACGGGATGAGTCGGATCACCATGACAGCGTGGCCAGCATGTTCGGCCTCAGCCTTGGCCGTCTGGATGTGGAAAGGGCTCAGAATGTGGCACACATGCAGGAAGCTAAGCGCTGTTTACAGCAGTGTATTGCCACAAACACCTCCTTCCCATTCAGGATCTTTAAGAGAAACTTCCCAGGCATCTCCAGATCAACCTACTACAACTGGAGGAGAGAAGCCATGCTCCTGAACAGGGGCTACAAAGGCGGTCTAGGCAGCAGTGAAGACAGCTCAGATGCTGACAAGAGCCAAAGCCCCAAAAGTAGGTCAGTGTTGCCCCAGCCCATCGTGCCAAGGCCCAGGATTTTCAGAACGAAACACAGAAGTTTCAGACTGGCCTACATGAGTAAAAAACAGCTCAGAGAAGTTGCAAAGTTGCATGTCCAGAAGTCCAGATGGTCTTTGACAAAGTTCAAGCTCAAGTTCCCATCCATGTCCTCTTGTCTCTATTGGTTGTGGCGGAGCAGCCACATCTGCAAGATGAGGAAGAAAAAAGAGGAAAAGGTGATCAGTCAGAGTGGGGAGATGAATGTTCCAGAGATTCTGGAGAGCACAGGTACAGAAAGCAAGACAGAAGAGAATCAGAATGAGATCCCGTTTGTGAAGAGCCCCGAGTATCTGGATGGCTCCAGCGTGCATCCCTTTGATGCCCCACACTCAAAGTACCCCTTTCCCAGTAAGGCGCCCTTAGATGAGCAGGTGTTTGCCCTGGATGTCGTGGCTCTGGCAAACTTCAAGGCCAAGGCCAAGCTCTTCCTGCAGCAACGCTTTGAGGAGAAATCTTTCCCTACGTTTAAAGAATTTCGATCTTACTTCCCATTCACCGCTCGCTCAACATACTACATGTGGAAGAGAGCGTTGCATCATGGCGTGTCACTAGTTCATGGGTGAACAGGTGAAGCTTCTATTCCCCTAAGAATAGGAGTCATGTGTAAAATGAAAGCAATCCTGCAAAACCTGCTGACCCCAAAGACGTTCATGCCTCCGCGTTAAACAAACTACCTACTTATTGTTAATTTTGTGTTTAAAAAAAAGCTTTAAGTGCGTTGGTTTAGCATCGAAATGCATTGTGTCCTCCCTGTTCTCTGTCACCTCAGGTCATTCCTACCTCCTGGACATTTGCACATGTGTGAAAAAACCTACATTGTGGCTCTGTGTAAACCCTGGATTTTGCCCTCTAGGCAAAAGGCAGTTCAAAGCTGTTGCTTAGTCTCATTTTGTTTGAAGCAGATTATTCTCTATTCTTTTATTCCTGGCTTTTGGATTTAGCTTTTTGTTGTTGTGTGATTTGTTAATGTGAGCTTTTTTAATGCATGCTATCTAAACTGGGAGATGTATTGTTTACAGATGTTTTTGAGATTGTGAAGAGGAGCCTTTTTTTAGTTGGTAAAGTGAATTACACCTTTTTTGTTGTTCTTACACCTTCCAAGTCCTGGTTCAAGTCTCTTTGCTTATGCAGCTCCGTGTTACACTTGGTGCACGAAAATTTCAGGTGGTTGCATGAAGATTTTGGCATTGAAAAATGCCCATCTTTCTAGAAATCAACACAACTGAGTTTTGCCACATTATTTTTGCACTAAGATGGTTCCCATTTCACTGAATGTATTGTCTGAGTAGATATGCACACTGGGTAAGTTGCTTAAAATCTTTTTGAGAGATCAGGGTGAAGATATTTTATTTTTTTGTTTCTTTGTCATTTCAAAACTACCTATTTCCCTGAAATGTTGGGAGAGATCTTTGCCTTTATAAGCTACTTTGGTGTGTAGTGCTGCTCGTCAGACACACAAATATTACCTACATTTTACATTTTGTACTCCCATATATTTATTTTTTGTAATCATAACTAGGCCAAAATACATCCTATTACCACTGAAATTCATGCTGGGTCAGTAGATGAATAAGTCTGTACAATGCGGCTGTATATAAATAAACATTCATCCTACATTAATCATGTACTTGATGTTTTTTTTTCATATCACAGGCCACTTTTTTGCTTCCATAACTATAAGAAGGCTATTAGAGTGCTTTGGTAAAAAAAAAAAAAAGATGTAATCTCATGGTTCACAAACATTGAAATAACCTGATTTTCATTAATCAAATGCGTATAATTTCCTTTGTGTTCAGTTCTCCCAGCGCAACTCAAGAAATTTGAAATGGTTCATTTTAACAGCTGAAGTCAAAAGTTTTACTCAAACAGAAAACATTATGTGAAGAAAGTTTGTGCAAAAAGGTGAGTAAAAAGTTCAAAGTTAAAGAGTGCTGAATCATTGCAAGCATGCCGGTGGTATAGCAGTGAGCTTTGGTGTGCTTTTGTGGTTTTTGCTCGCTTGCCCCTTCTCTGTTCAGCTATTGTGATTATGCTAATGGAGGGGAGGGGGAAGGGGCTAATTGTATGTATGCATGGGGATAGAGGTGTTGGAGATAAGGCCAAGAACATCCTTCAGTTTTGGGAGAGGTGGGGTGGAGGGGTAGAGGTATGTAGAGCAGGAAGGGGGCTGGGGGGGGGGGGGTTGCACCTTTTTGTTTGAACAGTCAACTGAAACCAATGTACTGATCAATGGAAACATCTTCTCTTGACAAAAGAGTTGCAGGCTGCTTCTTTATTAACGCCTAGTATTCAAAGGGTTTACCAACTAATAGAGTTGATTGAGAGTAAATATCCAAAAAGAAAAAGCTTACTTGAATTTAAAGACGCAGCCAATACTGATTAATGAAGCTTTATCCTGAGCTCAGCATGGGTGTTTTGTTGGAAAGCACCTCTCTGTTCACTCCAGAAGAGGCATAAATGGAAGGTAGAACAGGATATGGAACAGACAGATAGGTGCCTCATTTTGGCAATTTGAAAATTTTAGAAATGGTCGTTGAACACGAGCCCATAAAACAGTCTCTACTCTGCAGTAAGAAATGAAGTTAATGTTTTTCTCCTTACTTGTAAAAAATAAAAATATAAAAAAGGTTTGGCATCTTTTATCACATAGGACCTCAGAGCTAACCGGTGTTGGTGCAACCTTTGTTTTTAGGGAGAATTCTGAGTCATCTCCTGTTCCCGTTGGTCCTTTTGCCCTTTCTATCATCATTACTGTGTGATGGAGGAAAATCTCTCTGGCACCAAGCTACCCGGCACTGTTTATCTCAAAAATAGCATGGAAATAATGAGGGCTGGCAGGTGGGAGCTGAAGTCTTCGTGGATTAGCATACTGCCTCAGAAAGTCAGAGTGATAAAGAAGAGCAGAATCTCAAGGATGCCAATTGCCCCAGTAAACAAAACAGACTTGTGAGACTTTTAAGGCTTTGAGTTTGCAGCCGGGTCCCCTCTGATAGTAGCATGGTTATGAAATGAAAGGAGGCCTGAGATGCTGCATTATAGCACATGAAGTGAGGAAAAGATGTAGAGCCAGAGACACATTTCTGTAAGAAATTAGGTAACATTTCACATTAACAGTGAATCACATAAAAACAGCAAGTGTTTTTTGACCTGCTTAGTATCATTGGAAGTGATGATTTTAATCTACAAACCCTCATGCATGCAAATAGTTTTTCCACTAGGTGGCGGTGGATTCCTTCATAAGTTTCCATGGTTATGGCACAGCCTTAATGGAAAAAAAATGCCCTGAGGCACACAATCACTTAGGTTTGGACATAAAATCAATGTTTTACTGCTCAGCTCAGAGTGCCCAGTGTAGATTTCTCTTGTGATAACTCGATTAATAAACATAATCCTTGACTGTAGCCAGGTAATACCAAAATCTGATAATGTCTGGGAAACAAATTGTTTGCTGTCAGATTAAACAATGGAGAAAGAAATAAAAAAAGAATAAAAAGAGAGAGAAATAGTGGTCAGCTATGAACCTGAGTAATGGATTGTTCAATTTCCTCTGGTACTATTCCAAACTTGAAAAAAAAGAAAATGAAAAAATGAAATTATAATGAGTCGTATTGTTCTGTAATGGGAAAGTCTGGAGGCACCTCTAACTAGGTGGGAAAAGATTTATTCAGCTCTCTTCAATTCAGCTTTAATTATACATCTCCTAAATGCAACAAATATCATCTTTTGGGCCTTCAAAGATACGGTCCAATTAAAAAGTCCAATTCATTTTAAGACAAACATGATCCGTTTGTCAGTTAAATCCTAAATTGGTGAAATCTCTACAGGACCAAAATAAAAAATTAAGGCAAAGTGTTTGCAACCAATATAAATGGAAAGAATCACCACTATAAAGTCTACAAAGCTGAAAATTACATTAAAGATCACATGAAAGTCTGAAAGCTTGGCTTTTAAATACAAAGAAATTACGGTTATGTCTTTTACACAGTAATCTGTGTCTTTGTCTTTGACATTTACATGCTTTCTTTTTCCTTTTTATTCTTTACCTGGAATAAAAAAAGGATCCATCATTGGAAATAATGTCCATATTTGGCCAATTGGTGCGGAGTAGACTGGTTGAGATTAATGTAATTCTTCTCGTTTTCTTGGAGAATAAGATCGACTTTAGTCTTTAGTATAAGAGCAGCGCTCTCTTTTGTGGGCTGTATGGCCCACGTCATGTCAGACAGAATTTAATTCTGTGAAGGTTAATGTGAAATCTGATCTCTGATGTGGGGTGCAGACGAAAAGTTTTTTTGGGGTGAATTTCCGTGACGTTCTTGTGCTTGATTATGTATAATGTTGTTTGTGAGCATGCTCACATACTGAGGGCGCAGTGAACAGGATTTTTCTATACATACAAGAAAAGGGAGCACTTGGTAATACAGACAATGCCTTGTGGATTGGCTATAATTACTTGCCTTTAACATTTATCATCATGATATTTTTCAGGGTTTCTTTGGCATGAAGCCCCTCCTATTTAATCTCTAAACATATAGACACTGAGACTACCTGACAGGGAAATAATTGAGACAAGTTCCTACTGTAATAGTTGTTGGATTAGTGAGTGATTCATTTTTCCTAACTGAGTTCAGTATTTGGGTGTTTTTGAGTGAAATGAGACCCGTTGTAGGCAACGCCTACTGCAGACCCTGTTTGACAAACCAGGCCGAAGGTCTGCAGTCACCTATTCTTCTGTTTGTTCTGTGGCCGTGTACCACCTGTTCAGGTTTTGAGCCTACATAAGCTGATGAAACTAACATGCCTGATCCCTCAGTGCAACTTTAAAACCACAAGTCAGAGAGCAGGAATGCCAAGTTCAATAGAGTTACATCTAAAGATAAGAAGCTAGAAAGAAAGATTTATCATCCCCCTGTGTGTTCATCCGCCCATGCCAGGTTTTACTTAAGGTGCTCCTGTTAGAGATAGAGTGGAAAATAAAGGTCTCAAATATTACTCTTTATTTATGTAGCTGCTTTGGTTTTGAATTTTCAATATACCAGGACCAAAGAAACCATCAGACCATTAAAGAAGGTCTGAAACAAGTTATGTAATTCAACAAATGAGATGCAAACACGAGAAAAAATTGCAGGACGTAAAAACACTACAGAATTTTAAGCCACTCCAGATGTCATGTCTCACTTTTCATTGGTTTTACTTTATCATACAATAGCCTCTGGTGGTCTGATTTGTTATGTTCAGCTGATTGTTGAAAGTGGTTGTTACTCTTTATTTTTGAGAGCACAGTTGATTCTGTTTATACCTGTATGATGATCTGCAGTGACTGGAAGAACTTACAGAATATTTTGGCCCTTCTCTCACACTTTCCATGGCTTCTGACCATTTTCAGTCAGAAATTTCCCTCTGGTGCACATATACTGGAGCAAGGACTGTGGGCTGATTAAATGGTTGGGTTGAACTCTAACCGAAGATTAAAATTATGAATACATTTCAATGTTAACTTCATTTATGGGATGCGTATAGGATGAATAGCCACCAGAAGCCCCCAGCTGCAGTCACTGCTTGACAGGGATGTCACAACACACACTCCAGGTAAATATAGCTTCACCCGGCTTATGCCAAGTGTCTGAAAGCTCAACATCACTCCGTTTTAAGTCTTTATTCTCCGCTCAGATTACATGCAACCTCAAGTTTACCGTGCAGACTTTAAAGCCAGAGTGTCTAACTTCTAAGCAAAGGGACAAACTTTTTTTTATTTGAAAATACAGTTTGCTGCACTGTGCATTTAACATTTTTAATGATTGTTTGTGGCTCTGGCTTTGCATCTTCAGATCAATCAACTTATAGCGATGTGCAGTTTTAAATGTAAAAGTATATCAGATGTCAGATGATTAAATAATGCTTTGGGTTTATTTCATTTGAATAATGAAAAAGATTTAAAAAACACTGCAAACAGATTACATATCCATTAATCCTCACAGAACAGCAGACTAGCCAGACTAAGACTAATGAATGAGCAAGGGACAGTGATTAGTAAGACTCGGCTGAGTAATTTGGCAGATGTCACTCAGGGGAAAGTAACAAGTGCAGAAAAACAGTTGTCGCAATGACCTGAGGCATGTAATAGTGATAAGATAACAATGATTGAACTTAAGGGATAATCATGTTCCTGTTATCTGTGCAGCTGTGAGAACATATCATCACATGTCCTCGGTTCCCTACAGGAATCTGCGTTTGTGTGGCTGCCTGAGTGCAGGCCGCTGGCTTAATGACCCTGCTTATAAATATGAAGTGCTTCAATGCCAGAGGGTAAAGGAGAGATCTACGTGTTGTGTGGATCAACCTGATGAATAATCCCAGGATGATAGACTCTGGTTCTGGATTTCTTCTACATACCAGTCAACATCATGACGATCATTGCAAAGTACTTCACAAAGTTCTGTTCATGTGCCTTGATGATAGCTGATAGCTGCGATTTGGCAGACTCTTAGATGGTAAAGTGTAAAATACCTCAAAACTAGCTGTTAATTTGCTGCTATAATCCCTACTAAACTATTTGCAAGCTGTTTTTGTGTTGGAATTCCCATCTCCCCAGTTCCAGCCCCATGGAA